AGGGCTTCTTCAGCCCCTATGTCTGTGCTTGGTGAGACTGGTTCTATTGTTGCCCCTAGGACTGAATGAGTGTTTGCTTGCATCCATAAAGGTCCATTACCCACCTCTAATTGCTGCAAGCACCTTCCTTTTCTCAACTCTGACCAGGATGGGTGGATGGTGATACCCCAAGTAGGCAGGTTGGCTGAAGCTGTTGGCCCTAATTCTGTGTAGCAGCATGCTTGAAGGGTAAGGCCCAGATGTATTTTCAGGATCATCCTGTTTATAAGGCAGGAAAGTGACAGCAGGCTGGTGGCTCAGTCAAGGCTTTGTAAGGTGGTCTCATAGATGTATTCTTGAGCTTTTAATGCCTCTACCAGAGAATTTTATCCATCTCTCCATGTGATGAATGTCAGGGAACTGACTCAGGAGAAGTCAACTCAGAGCAGTCTAAGTGTCACCTTAGGGAACACTTACTTATCAATTTACAACATACTGTGCTCTTTTCCAATGACTGGACCAATTATAGCTGTCATGCAGTATCAAGCCACAGGTATAAATGGTGCAGGAGAGGGAAGCACAGGTACAGTGGGAACAGTGTGTACAATGAAGAGCAAACACATCAGTGAGCCTTTGGAAATGGAGTAATCACAGCCCAGGGAACATAGAGAGCCCTGGGGACACAGAGTAAAGGGAGAGGACCAGTGATGCTGTCTTCTCATTTTTATTGGGTGCTGTCTTAGTCAGTGTTCTATTACTGTGAAGAGACACCACGATCGAGGCAACTTTTATAAAGGAAAATATTTAGTTGGGGACTTGGTTACAGTTTCTGAAACTCATGGTGCATCACACAGGTAGGCATGGTACTGGAGAGTAGCTGGGAGTTTTAATATCCCGATCCTCAGGCATCAGGCAGAGAGAGAGAGGGAGGGAGAGAAGAAGAGAGGGAGGGGGGACTGGGCCTGGTAAAGGCTTTTGAAATCTCAAAGCCCACCCGAAGACACACCCCCTCCAACAATGCCACACCTCCTAATTGTAGCAGACTTTTTTCTTTTGACCCAACAACCAGCTCCCAAATCATGACATGGAGACTTCTTATTAGTTATGAATGCTCAGGCTTATATTAGCTATTTTTATAATCTGTTTCTCTTTCTCTACATTTTGCCTCAGGGATTTTTACCGTTCTTCCTCCCTTCCTCCCTCCCTCCCTTCTTTCTTTCTTTCTTTCTTTCTTTCTTTCTTTCTTTCTTTCTGTATATTTTACTTTCCTGCTGTTTCCATGTCTGACTGGCAGCTGCCTGGCTCCTGGCCCTGGGCATGTCTCCTCTCAAGCCTAGATTTCTCTTCCTACTTATTTTCTCTCTGTCAGTCAGCCAGGCCTATCCTTTCTCTGCCTAGCTGTTGACCATTAACCCCTTATTAGACCAATAAGATGCCTTAGGCAAGGTGAAACAAATGCAGCACATCTTTACATAATTAGGCAAATGCAGCATAAACAAATGTAACAGATATTTACATCATTAACAAAGGCAGCAGAAACAAATGTAACACATATTTGCCTAGTTAAAATAATATTCCACAACACCTAATCCTTCCAAACAGTTCACCAACTGGGTACTAAGCATGCAAACATAGGAACCTATGAGGGCCATGTCCGTTCAAACACCATAGATGGGGCGCCTCCTTGATGATTGTGGCCAGGCCAGGAAAAATGCAGACATCTGAGAACAACTGATAAACTAGAGGATATACTACAGTCTCTTACAATGGTATATATGAAGGAAGATCCTACAGAAGCTCCTTGAAGTTGCATTGCCTTTGCTATGAGAGCTCCCTTGCTAAAGTGCAGGATGAGCAGCTGTGCACCCAGAGAATTTGGCCATGTAAGGGATGTACTACAAAAGGTGTGCAGGTTCTATTCTGACCTAGCCTCTGGCTTGCTGGGCAAATTGGATTAAGGATAAGGTGAGTTGGAAGTGTTGGTTTGCCATTTCTCATAGCTGGAGGACCTAAAAGGAAAGGGAGTGCGAATTTGATATATGGCAAAGCACCCCTTCCTAAGCTCTAGGCCAAAACAACCAGTTTGCGCTGACTCTAATATGGCCATGGCAATGAAGCAGATGCAAATAGATCCCTGTGGAAGTTCACCAGGATGAAAAAGCTTAATTACTCATAGAAATTGTGGAGAACTGCCTAGAATAGTGCCTTCCCTCCATGACACTGTACCCAACAATGATCTTTCAAGACAGGCAATGAAATCTTTTCATGTTCTATTGAGCCTTGTCCACCTCTCTTCCTTTGGTATCTCCTTAGGTGCTGGCTCCTGAAACCAACTGGATGGGATGGATGGTGGTGGTCTTCAGAGATCCTGCCACCCTCTCTAAAAATGCTTCACTACACAGGTGCTCTGATGTCAACTCACAAGTGTTTTACAGACTTAGAAAATCATCTGAAAGACATATAGGTGCATCTAAGGGAGCGAGGCTGGGAAAACAGTGACAAAGTTACAAGGGCCAGGCATAGCTGTGGCATTCTTATGGAGCTTTATGGTTGAGATAGGCATATATGGCACTCATTAAAGTGACAGAGAAAATCCCACAACACCCTGTGCCTGCTGATGTTAGTGCAATGGTTAGAGAATGGGCAAAAGGTATCCTGTGTGGGTGGGAAAAGATGATCTCAAAAGGCATAGGTGACCAATGGAAAACCCCAAGCCCAGGGAAGGGCTACCTCCCTACAAGTTGTTGGCCAGGGAGGACCCCAAGACAATACAGGTTATTTTTGCTGCTGTGTATTAACCTGCCCGTGTAGCAGAAAGAATGGCAAGAGTCTCACCTGAAATCTCAGCCACACCCTCCTGCATCATCCTCCTAGCTGTATATAGTTCTGCAAAGCTCCAGAGACACACACACAGATGCACACAACGTAGAAGGTTCAGTGAAGTTGGGGTTATCTATGCAGCAGGGGGAGGTCCTCATCTATGTTAGGGTGAGACTTTTTAATAATGCAGTTTCTTTGGAGTCACCCACATTCCTGTAAGCCATCCCTCACGCATGCTCTGTAAGTAAGCGCATAATCTCACTGGTTTGCCAGGTTGGACTTTGATGGAGTTGTACTGTGGTCCGATGCTGTTGCCCTGTCTGGAGTGAGCAGACATTCACATGTCCCCCGGAAAAAGTCATACAATCTTTCCATTTGGCAAAACATGGCAGTTGGAAATGAATATGGCACATGGGCAAGCAATAGCTGTTCCCTCGCTGTGGGTGATTCTGCACCTCTCTGTCCAATCAATAATCCCATCTATTCGCTTAGTTATCCTAACCTGTTACAGCTCAACTCAAATGTCACCTCCTCCTGGAAAATCTTTTGCCACCCCAGTTTAATGACCCAGACCGCAATCAAAGTCCTTTCTTGAGCTCCGTTGCTGGCCTCTGACCAGTGTTTGCCACCTCATGCTCCATTTGTGCTGTCATTGGTCCACTGCCCACCCTGCCTCTTGAGCTGTCTGGATACACAGATGTCACTGTTCACCTTGTTCTAGCATCTCACATAGGCTCTAGCACAGATTCCCTGGAGAGTTCAATGACTATCAAATGAATAAATGTATGGTCAGGAAAGGACCAAATAGTTGCATGTTAGATCTGTCCTGTGCCATACATAATACACTAGACAGCAGAAGAAAGGCAGGGTGGGGGTTGGGAAAGAAGGAAGGCTTTCTGAAGGGGTGGACATAGAAGCTATTGTATCAGGATGGCCAATGGCCTCACAGACAATGGAGGAGACAGCCCCAGATCAGAGACCCTCTCCTCTCCTCCTGGGTAGATGCTGTGATGACTGTTTTGTAGCTGGAACTAATGTTTGGCATTACAGGGACACTGGACTTAATTTGTCTTTGCCCTAGTCATTTACTGGGTTCTAAACAATAGACGCACAGATTCAAAGGAAAACGCAGCTGAGGCCTTGCAGGAAGTCCTAAGTATACTCAGTCTTTGTGGTTTACCCTCAGAGCTTCCTGCCAGTGCTTACCTAGGCTTACCAGGCCTAAGAAGCCAAGGAGAAGGGGCAGACTGGGCCACAGGCATGCCACCTATGCTGCAAAGCAGGTGCCTCTAGCAGATTGGTTTCCAGTTTTAACTGAACACTTTTCTCCCTGCTCCTTCAAAGGCACATCTGCCATAACTGGTCTGCCCTGATCACAAGGGTCACCTGTACCACTTAGGAATGGACTCAGAGGCCTCTTAGCCTGCCCTAAGGCATGCCGCCTAGTGGGCTCCTGGTGTCTCCAGGATCTGTAGACCTCTCTCTTTTCACTGATGATATCACAGATCATCGTGACCCCAACTGAATGACCAAGGAAGTAAAACTCCATGGGTACCTGTTGTTGAAGTGTGTGCACAGAGGCGTCTACACGGGCTACCCAGCCTCCTTTGCAGCTGACATGTAGGGGGTCAGTTCTGGTCATTCAAATGGAGATTCATGTGCCTTCAGTGACCTGAGTGGTTCAGATTTGATGTCATTGTCACCCCAGCTAGCCTCTTTCTCTTTCTGCAGCTTCCTCTCCCAGACCCTGGTCTCCTGTCTAAAGCAGGCACTGTAGCAAATCAAAATTTTATTTTATTCTGCTGAAAGGAAGTGGCCAGTGTCCATCAGGGTACCTGGGAAACTCAAGAGTCTCTGCCCAGGTAGACTGCCTGTAGGACATGAGCCAATGGCCATGTGGTGGCTCACACAGGCACAGAACCTTAGAGGAAGATAATGCTGCTCACCCAGCATCCTTTCATCCACATCTTTATTGCCTCTCTGGTCCTGATGTGACAGCTCTAAGAAGAGGCCACAGATTCCAGAGGCTAGAACTTGGGGCTGCATGGCTAAGTTAGAAGGTACTACTTTGACTGTGCCTGCAAGTTTTGGGAGGTATTTGTGGCCTACTTGTACAAAACACTCAATGGAAGAGTGAGCCTGTGCACTGGGAAAGGAGAAACACACACAGCTTTTTATGGGAAATGACAATGTCCACCTTTTTAATTAGGCGGTGGCAATGGAGCATCTTCTCCACCCCTACAGGGAGGTTTTGGTTGAACTCGAGGTCTGGGCAAGGGAGGGCCTTTCTGTTGGTGAGCCTGTGTGCCTGATGGAGGAGGTCTCTTTCTCTGCTGCTGCTCACGGGTTCGGTGGCTTGGAGGCAAGGGACGAGGGCCAGGTGTCTGGAGATGATGGCCGGGTGGAGGAGGAGCTTGGGAAACCACTGGATTCTGAGACGCTGTAGCTGGGGTTGAGTGTGGCGGGCCCCTTTCCACAGAGCTCATTCTGGGGGCTTTTATCTCCAGCTCTTCATCTGTAATGGCAAGACAATAGCAATATGCGACAACAAAATGCATGAGAGTGTGTGTGTGTGTGTGTGTGTGTGTGTGTGTGTGTGTGCGCGCGCGCGCGCGCCTGCGTGCATACATTTGCAGGTAAACATACATGTGTGTGCCAAGCAATACCCTCTGATGCCATTCTTCAGGCACTGTCCACCTTTCTTGTTTTTGAGTTAAGGTCTCTCTCTCTCTCTCTCTCTCTCTCTCTCTCTCTCTGTTCCTCTCTCTGTCTTTCTGGCCAACAATTTATCAGGGAGGCTAGGCTGTCTGGGCAGAGAGGCAGGGATCCACCTCCCTCTGCTCCCAAGACTACAGGCACCACCTTACCTATTTTGTATCGGTTCTCTAAGATTAAGTTTTGGTCCTTGTGCTTGCAAAGTAAGCACTTCAGTGACTAAGCCACCTCCCCCAACCCACAATGCAACCATTGAACATGTCTTATGTGATAGGCATCAAACCAGATGCTTCAGGAGATGTGAGGATAAAAGGGAAGTTACTCCCACCCTCTGCAAGCTCTGGGTGTTTCATGGGGGAGAGAAATGCTCCTCACGGGTACAGTGAACCCATGACCTCTTCAGAACTCAGTAATATGAGGGAGGAGGACATTCGGGTGGAGAGCTTTGAGCCTAAGGCACCAAGTGCAGAGTGAGTGCCTGATCCAGAGTTCTAGCTGGATGCTGCCTAGAGACAATCAAGATTGCTAAGCAACAAGTCACATGGCCAGAGCCCACAGTAGCAGGTCTGAGTGGCCCTGATGGACTTTAGTGACTATATTTCTTCTTTGGGGTTTCTAGGGTAGGTCCTGCCTTTCGCTCAATTTGACTGTCATACAACCCACACTCTGGAAGGAAATTGGGCACCCTCCAAGGGGAACTCGAGTCCTTAGAAATGGACTAGTTCCTCCGAAATTCATAAGCAAGACCCATCATCTTGGGCTTTGGCTCCTCTCCTCAAGCTTTGGGATTGTCTGTTTTGTGTGGCTTCCATCTAGGAAGACACACCTGAGATGGTGTAGATCTTCTTACACTGTTTTTTAAACCACACAGTAAATCTGTGGGAACACTCAGCTGCCAAAGGCCTGGAGGGCACTGCTGGGCTCCTTTAGGCTACATTCTTGGCAGTCCAGTCCCTATGATCAAGGCCATCTTCAAGGGGCCAGGGGGAGCTTCTCCATGGGGCAAATGAATGACTGCTTGTATCCTTATGAAGACATGTGTCTTGGCATCACCTGTGGGCTGAAGTTATTGACCCAAGGTTATGCCTCTGGCTGCTGTAAATGCATCCTGAGTGCAAAGACTCAAAGTCAAACCAGGTGGTTTTGACATCTGAGTGACCCACATGCTCTAAGCACATACATAAAAAGACACCCAAATGACTGAACATGTCCTTTGTGCCATCTTCAGTGTCCCCAAAGTAACTGTGCTCATGTTTTGGAGGCTGTGGGTAGGACTTTGATCCTAGATATAGACCAGCAGGTGGTCCTTCATCTACAGCAGCAAGCTCAGGTGGCTCACTGCTGGCTCTTCTGCTTGGTGGCATATTGTTCGTCCTGTGTTTTCTCCACGTGCCCTATGTGTTAGGCCCCACTGCCAAGCTGCAGTAGTGACTCAGACAGCAACACTGTCCTCAGTAAGTGACAGAGCCAGGCTGCACATCTCATTGTCAGCCTCCACGAAGGTGGGGGACCACCAGAAGGTGCAAAGAACCACGTGAGAAGTGGAGGGGGGGTGAGAGGTGTGGTCGGACACTGAGCCCTTACACTGAGTTGGGCAGGCAAGCTGGCTCTGTGGAAGCTATACAGTTGGTACTAACTATGGCACCCACTTGTTAAGAGCAGGACTACAGGACCCTGGTCTAGCCTCTCCAGCAAGGTCCACCATCTGTTCCAGGGACCTTTCGTGCTCTCTTCCTTTCTTTCAAGACTGTCTCTTCTTGGTGACTCAGCTCGGGTCATGGATATGGGTGAGGAAACTCAGGTCCATGGGTGTCAAATTTAAAGAGGCATCATGTAAGAACAAGGTAAGACTGCCTCAAAATTCAAGTGCTGGGTTTTTGCCTCACCCTAGTCATGCTTCAGCCTATGAGCTGTAGCAGGGTCTGAGGTGGTGAGCTAACCTGCTTCTTCATCTGTGTAAATGTCTCTCTTTAAGGCCGTAAAGTGGGACATGGTAGTGAATGTGAAGCATTGAACTCAGCTCCTGGAACAAGCCACTTTATCCACATGAGCGGCTGTTGTGTTTCTCTTCCCAATCTGGTGGTGGCAGAGGTTGCCTTGCCTTGAGCAACACCTGAGGTCCACCTTGGAGGAATGTGTCTGATGCCTGGGCAGTGAGAATGGGTCTTGTAGAGAGGGGTGGAGACAGTATGAGCAGAGATAGGGAAGCCACAGTGATCAGGGCTCTGCGAGTCACTAATTACTAAGCTGTAGAGAATGGAGAACGAGGGAATGATATAAGACACCCGAAAGGTGCCGAGTGAAGAGAGCCCAGGCCCAGGCTGGGTAAGTGGTGGGTAGGATGACAAGATGAGGGTGTTGGCCTGAAAGGAGGACTAAAGCAACACTGAGAAATGAGGTGTGAAGAAGGAAGCCAAACCCCAGAGGGCATGGGGCCCGGGGCCACCACTGTGGGGTGTGGGCAGACTCTGCCCATAGGCTTTACTGGAAGTCACTACTGTGAGCATTACTGGGCCTACTGAATCTCTATAGAGATCTGCAGAGATTCAACCCAACCCTGTGTGAAACAGATTTCCCAGAACCTCAGGGACCTGCCAACCCACTAACATGCCCAACTAAAGGCTGCCCTTACCCCACCATCTGCAGTGACAGCTGGATACAGTCCCCAAAACATTGTCCCATCATGGGTGGTCAGCTCCCTGTGTAGGATCAGCAGTAGCAATGCCTGCTCTGTGAACTTCAGGACAGGTCTGCACCAAGGAAACCATACTCCCAGCCTGAAAGCATCCCCACTGAACAGCCAATCAGGAAAGGCAGGGCCAGCACCCTGATTTTGGCTTTCTATTTTCTTGTAGCGCTGGGACTTGAACTCAGAGCCTCACACAAACTGAACAAGTACTCTACACTGACAGCCTCCCACCCCGAGTGCCTCCTGACTAGAAATAGTTTTACCCATATTCCAAGAGCTTGGTCCTGAACACACCTTCAGCCATCCAAGGCCATGATATTTGTTCCCAGACATGGGGTTTGGGTGGAATCTCTCTACCCTTACAGAAATTTGTGGACCATTCCAGGATCTCCACACTAGCCTTTCACTAAGGCAGCCTCACCTGGTGGGTTCTGGGGAGGTTCACAGCCTGGCTGCCGTTTCTCAATGGTCTTTTGCTATTACCCACCTTCCCTCCCACCCCCGTGAGGACTGTCCTTCAGAAATCCACCTGAGCACGCAACAGAGCCAGCCATAACCTCTGGTCCCAACCTTTCCAATATGAGTCTACCCCTCTCTTTCTTCCCTTCATAGACTCAAGGAGAGATGTGGGAATGTCTCTCCTTGAAGTGGGGGTGCTTTTGATGCAAAAGTGGATGTGCTCACCTTTTCTCTTCCTATTCTTCTTTTTCCTCTTGCAGACACAGAAAACAAGCAGTGCTCCAAGGACCACCAAGAGGACGCCCCCAGCACAGGCTCCCACAATGACATAGAAATGCAGATCTTTCTCTGCAAGAAGAGAAGATGGCTAAGGGAGAGGGTCTTGGGCAGAGTGACCCTTTCACTGCCCCAGCCTCCTACCTCAAACAAATGAAAGAGCCCCATGGGGCTTTCCACCTCACCGAGGCTGAGCTTCTGAGGCCTGGAGTACTACATGAATCTGCAAGGGCTGAGAAGCATGGCCTGCCCACCTCACTCATCCCCCACTGGGAAGAGCATCCAAGCTCTGAGAGGGAGGATGAGTTACTAACTGAGGCTTACAAGACCCTTCCCCAAGTCAAGCATCCCCCAGTCTCAGTGTTCAGCTTTTCTTCCTCTCAGACTCCCTGGGCCCAGGAAAGTGGCCTAGATACTCAGTGGTTAGCAGTGGCAATATGCCGTACTGATTCCTTCACCCGCCAACACAGTGAAGAAGAACAGAGAGGAAAACAGGACAATGGGCTTAGTTTAAACTCTTCCAAGTAAGAGCTGTGTGACCTTTGAGAAGATGCTCCACCTCTCTGAGTCTGTTTCCTTCTTTGTAAAATGGAAACGACGTGACTTACATCACAGAGTAGCTGTCGGAAGTCAGATCAGATAATGGATGGAAAAGTGCTTTGTAAACTGTAAAACAACACCTAGATGAGGGTTTGCTCTTGCAATACTCTGCACTGGTGTTTCTGGTAGCTGTTTCCCAGGAGGGGGGCTGAGCCATCTGGCCTTTGTGAGTCAATAGCAGTTAGAGAGAGCAGCTGGAGCAGGCGGTCAGAGGACTGCCCTGTGGGGAGAATGAGCCTGGAGCTGAGCCCAGCCTCACAGAAGCAAGTCTCCAGCCAGTCCTGGGAAGCGAATGTTAGCAACCAGGGAAGAGGTCTGGGCAAGCTGGAGACCAACCAGGCAGGGCAGAGTTTCAGCCTGTGCTGTCGATGCTGTTGGGTCACCTCTAGTCCCCCTCACCCAGTCCTCACCCACCAGCTGAGAACCTGTCTGGACACTGCCTGTGTAGGGGCATCCCTCAGCGTCCCTGAAGCTGCTTCAAGAATAGATTCAGGGACCTTCAGGCCCGGATGCCTTGCAGAGGATCTGGCATGCCAGAGTCAGTCTCTCTAGCTGAGGGGTTCCCAGGTATGAGCAGAGTGGGTGGGGCATCCTGTCGAAGCTGAACCTTGGGTCCTCAGGCAGGGTGTCCATCCCTTCTCCCGGATACTCTTGGGGAAGCAGGCTCACCTTCCACAGGTCTAGTTTCAAGTTTACCCAGTGCAGCTGTGGGTGCCTGATGGTGGTCTAGTGGGGACATCAGTAGCTATGGTTTTTGTCCTAGGTCCCTCAGTCTCTCATTCCAACTATCCTTCCCTCCCACACTTCCTCTTGGAGACACTATGCCTACATTTATGTAAGGACATTTTATACCTGGGCCCGGCTGCTTCCTCCTCTTAGGAATTTGAGTACATGGCCACAATCGGCTCCTGCCTGCCTTGGACTTTAGAATGGGAGGAAGATTCAAATCCCCTTCAGGGTCTTCAAGGGCATCCCTGCACTTCCATATATCCCTCTTTCTCCTTGATGGTCATTTCCTGGGCCAGCTTCCTCAGTGAACCATAGATTAAAGGACACAAGCCTTGTGTCCTCTCCTTCCAGGGCTCTCCCTCATTGATAAACACTTATTTTGATTCTGGAGGGAACTAGTTACAATAAATATGAAGCATGAGGTTGCCTGGTAAAATACAAGACAGCCAGTTAAATTTGAATTTCATATAAACAATAAATTTTTTAGGATCAATATATAGAACTGTTTTTTTGTCAGCTCACTGGCGTAAGCCCCGTGTCTCCAAGCCTTTGCTTCCAGAAAAAGAAAAAAAGTTTTGGAGTCCCCCTCATGCCTTTGTGATGGGGAAATGGAGGGTGGGTGGGGGCAGGGAGGTGGCAGAGAGGGACTGCCCATGACCTGAGGGGTAAGGAAATGAGTGCCATCTGAATCTGTGACTGGCAGACTCTTGCTGCCCTCGGTGACCCCCACCTCCGGATTTTTCACTGATGTGTGAAGTGAAACGGGTCTGAACTGCATTCATGGCAGAAGTGATGGGACAACCCTCCTGAGATCACATTCCCAAGGCTGTCACTATTCTCTGGGACACTGACTCTTGTTCTCAAGTTGTTCTGATGACGACGACGATGACCACGGAGCTGCCACTTCTTGAGACAGCTCAAAGGCCCATGTGAGAGAGCCAGGGAATGGGTCCCCGGACTTCTCCTCCAATACCCTAATTTTAGTGTTGACCTTACCCTGTGGATCATGAGACGGAAGTCCACAGAGGGGTGGGCGTTGTGTTAGGATCTTACCAACTAAAATCAGATCAAGTGAAAGTTAACATTTAGACCTCTGGCTTCCAGACTGGAACTAATGCACGATAGCAGGCTTCTCCTCAAAAACTGTTGCTGGGGGCTGGGCACAATTAGGTAACCCTGTAATCCCGGTGGGAGGCTGAGGCAGGGGGATTGCTGCAAATTGGAGGCCAGCCTCTGTTATACAGTAATACTCTCCCACAAAGCAACGCAAACAAAACAAGAATGGATTATTTCTGGGAGCTGTGGCAAGCCCCGGCTCTGGAGATCAATTAGGCCTTTGGAGTGCAGGGCTGACTGGAAGCTCTGCAGTGTAGAGCTGCTCTGGGGATGGCAGGAAGGGCTGTGCCTCTCTGTTCCCCAGTTCTACTCTCCCTTGCCTGCCTCCCAGGCATTCTGAAGCCTTGCTTCTCACACCCAGTTAAAGAGACATCAGATCTCCAGACACCAGCCCGAAGGGGCACCTTGCACAAGTCAGATTCACTCCTGTAAGAGTCTCCCCCTACAACCCTGCAATCCTTTCTTCCAGGAGAGGCTCCTGACCTGCCCCAAGTCAAGTAACACCTGTGGGAGGACTACCAACACGAGTAGACAGGAGCACAGCTCCCCAAAAGGTTTCCAGGAGAAATAGACATCTTTTCACCTCCCACCCTGAGCCACATTGACCTCCCAGCCCAGGCACTGTGCAGTCGAGGTGGCACTGTCACAGTACCCTAGGCCTAGCAGGCTACCCCTGGGCATTTGGACCACCCTGACCTCTGCTAGCTCCGTACCTGAGCAGCTGATCGTGGTTGTGAAGGACTCCTCGCTGACCTTGTTTTTTGCACTGCACTTGAACGGCACATTCAGGTTGGTCCACGTGTATCTTATGATCTTCTGATGGAGGCTGGTGAGAAGTTTCTTTCCTCGATACAGCTTTAGTTCAAGGTCTGTTCCTTTCTCAACCTCACAGGTCAGGGTTGTGTTGCTGCACTCCCAGTAGATCTCTGGCTTTGAGACCCTCTCTAAAAGACAGACCCAGTTTTTATTAGGCAATTTTTGAATACTTTTTTTTTTTTTTTTAACGACTGATCTCACTCTGTAGACCAGTCTGGCTTAGAAGTCTTCTTTCTTCTGCCTCTGCCTCCTGAAAGCTGGGGTTATGGAACTATGCTCCCCTGTATAGTGGCTGTGTGCTTTTTTAATGTTAGTAAATATGCCTATTAACATTGAATTAGTTTGGGACTAGGTAAGTTCAAAACTCCTAGTTTTGTTTGGGTTGGTTTTTTGTTTTGTTTTGTTTTGAAACAGCATCTTTGTTTTGTTTTTGTTTTTTTTTTGAGACAGGGATTCTCTGTGTAGCTTTGGAGTCTGTCGTGGAACTCACCCTGTACACCAGGCTGGCCTCAAACTCACATAGTCCCACCTGCCTCTGCCTCCCGAGTGCTGGGACTAAAGGTGTGCACCACCACCACCCAGCATGAGGCAGCATCTTAACATAGCTCAGGCTGGTCTCAAACTCACTAGGTAGCTGAGGAAGAACCTCTCTCATCCTCCCCATCTGCCTGCTGAGTGCTGGGATTATGGACATATGACAGCTCCTATGTGATGCTGGGGAATCAAGCATTCTACATTATATTGAAATTCTTTAGAAAATAATTGTATTTAGCTGACATGGAACATCTTGAACAAAATCATTTCTGGCTGAGTTCAGAGACACAGGATATGAGCTAAAAAAAGGCACCACAACTGATGCGTATATACGGTTTGTGCCCTCAGCTCTTTTCACATGCATGACGTCATTTGATTCTAACAGTGAGGCTCATGTTTGTCTTCCCTTTTACAGATGACCTAGCATTAGACTATCCATTAAATATGACAAGTCTGGCCTGCAGAGATGGCTCAGTGGTTATAAGAGCACGTGTTGCTCATCCAGAGAGCCTAGGTTGGGTTCCCAGAATCCATGATGGTCAACTCATGATTACCTAGTTTCAGGCGGTCTGACCCCTCTTCTGGTCTCTGTGGGCATCTGCACACATGTGATACACACACACACACACACACACACACACACACACACACACACACACACAAATAAAATGAATTTCAAAAAATAAGGCAGGCCAGAAGAAGAACCCTGCAAAGGATTCCCAAGTCCAGGAGTGTAGGTAAGGTCAACCAGGAATCCCATTTTGGAGCAATGGCTATGTGAGAGGCCCATGGCCTTAGCTACTTGCTGCCCCATAGCATCCTGGGAATAGAGGGACAGGCTAGCATGGGTGTATCCAAGAAGCCAAAGCTCACCAGAGGAAAGGCACCATCTGAGAACCAGGGAGGCCTCTGTCATTCCAAGCCCTAAGGTGCTGAGTTAGTCTCTGGCCTTGCGGGGCCTCAACTTTAAAAAACAGAAACAATATTCTCTGCCTGTCTCAAGCCAGATGACCTGTGGCCAAGGCCTGGGCATGTCAGCAGAGGTGGTTCTCCCATTCACAATGCACACTACTTGCCCCTCCTGTTTAACACAACACTACATAAAGGCTACACCCGGGGGGGGGGGGCATGCCCTGGCTTTGGTGTGAGGCCAGACCCAGTGTCCAGTTCCCCACTTTCCACCTAAAGACACACTTCTGTCTTCTTCACACCTCCCTGTTTTCCCAGACCTTCCATCTTCTCGCCCTCTCAGTGGTCTCCATTTGTTACAAAGGGCAACAGTGAATTTTTCCGATTTCCTCTCTCTCTCTCTCTCTCTCTCTCTCTCTCTCTCTATTTCAGACCGCAGTGTCTTCCCCACGGGCCTCCCCAGTTTAATTCCATTTCCGCCCCAACATGCAAGCTTGTAAAACTGTAGTTTCCTTGCCATCCCAAGATTCTGCCTATCTCAGAATAAAGAAACAAGGCAATCATTAGCACCCAGCAGAGCAGGGGGCTGGCTGCCTATCTTTCTAGAATGAAAAACATGCCCTCCTAGTAACATCCAATCATTTCAAGAAACACTGATCAAGTTTAAAAAGGCTGTAAAGGCAATGAAGATCACCTACAATTCTGCTACTTGTGGCCATTAACATTTTGATGTATGTCTTTATCAGATTTTTTCTATGCATAAATCCATAATACAATGTTTTAAATTAAAATTGGATTATGTACCTGGTGGCAGGGAATAGTGTTGAGGGCTGAACTCAGGGCCTCAGCATTTAGGCAAGAACTCTACTACTGCACTATGTCCCCAGCCCCTGAATCACATGACTTTGTAACCTGCCTTCTATCTTTTAAGATTGTATCATTACATTCCCTTCTCATAGGCTTCAGTGAATGTACACCTCCACCATCTCTGTAACTGGTGCTCCTAATTAAGCTGCTAAAGAAAACATGCACTAGCATTTTACTGGTGCAAACACAGTGACGAGCAACCTTGTTTGTAGATAGTCTTCCTGTAAATCAGCTTTCTGAAAGGGGCATGAATGGCTGGCTGTTCCTAGATATGGCTTTTTTTATGTTGTTTATTTTGGGTTGTTGTTGTTTTTCAAGACAGGGTTTCTTTGTGTAGCCTTGGCTATCCTGGAACTCACTCTATAGACCAGACTGGACTTGAACTCCCAGAGATCTGCTTGCCCTTGACCTCCAGAGTGTTGGGATTGTCTGCCACTACTGCCTGGCTAGATATGGCTTCTTAATCTTGGCCTTCTAGGATCCTCTCCTTCTCCACAGGTTTCTTGGGGCCCTGCACTGTCCTTTCAGTCAGCTGCCTCATTGGGGAAGGTAGAATCTCGGAGCATAGCGAAACAAGTGGAGGGGGACCCTCAGCACTGAGAAAACAGGTGTGGTATCCTAGGACTCCAGGGCACCTTCATACCCCTGTTGAATATTACAGGCCTCATGAGTAACCCCTAATAGAAAAATCAGAAATTTTCCAAAATCCAAAACTTTCTGAGCCACAGTGCAATACCACAAGTGGGAAATCCCACACCATGACACCATGTTTCCTGCCCGATGCTATTTAAAATACTGTATTAAATTACCTTGAACAGGGCATATGAAGCATAGATATAAGCATAAATGAATGTCATGTTTACATTTGTGTCCTCTCTCCAAGATACAGCACACATATATATGCAAATACTTCAAAATCTTCACAAGGCCCCAAATCCTAAACACTTCTAATCCCAAACACCTTATGTAAGTGATACATAACCTGTGCTGGGTAATCAGGTTCAGAGCCGAGAACAATCTTCCAATTCTGTGTAATATATAATGATGACAGGACCACAAGTTGAGTCAAGATACTGTGTGGCATTGTCATTTGCATGCAATAATGAAGTCACTGTTTTTAGTCTAAGGGTCTGGGTTTCCTTTAGGGGTAAAGAAAATGTTGCCCACGGTGATAACCACATTAACTCCATGACTATGCAGAAAGCTGTTGAACTGTGCATAGTAAAGAGACAAACTGTGTGGTGTGTGAATCATACAGAATCAATGAGTTTATTTGGGAGGGAATGTCGCCCTCCTTGTCAAGGAAGCCCTGGGTTAGCATCCTGACTTTGATCCTGTCAAACAGTAAGAACATGGCCATGTCACTCCCGACTGGGTCTCTGTTTCCTTTTAGATGGACAGAAGCTTGTAATTATAAGTTCTCAAGATTACTAGGTGCTTTAAATAAAACCAGGCTAACAAGCTCCTGACTTCTCAACCCCAAAATAAAGGTGACCGTAGAGCCCCATGGCCTGCAGTCGTGACTCTGGCCATTCTCAGTGCCCATGGCAGGTGGCCTTTCTCATTCTCACCCCATTTCTGGAAAGTTCTCTCTAGACAAGGTTATAGGATTAGGGTCTGGAAGGGAGTCTTGCATAGAGGAGCTGACATTAGGTCCTGAAGAGTGGCTGGTGCTAGGCCTAGGTGCTGAGTACAGGGTGGGAGAGACACCACAGGTAGGATGAGGGGAGTCCTTTCTCCGGTGACATTTCCTGTGTGAAGCTCAGAATGAAGCTCCCTGAATGGCTGGTCTATGCTGTGCAGGCATTCTCAGCTTCCTCTGCAGGTAGAGGGCAGGCTTTCTCATCTCACCTATTATTGCGAGGAGATGTCACTTGTCCTTGGGCTTTCAACTTCAGTGACATTCAATGCTTTTCTCTTCCTTCTCACTCACCCAAGCTTCCTTGATTCCCCACCACCACCACCACCATACCCACAGCCTGCATGTTTGCATCTCTCCTCATCTGCACTCACCCTTTAGACCAAACCAGTGGTTATCAGGGACAACCGTTCACTAGAAGCACTTGGAAGTTATAGATCCCACTCCATGCCAGAGGCCTAGGCATCACTAACTTCTTACAGCTTTCTTGCTGGTTTTTGTTTGTTTGTTTGTTTGTTTGTTTTTCAAGACAGGGTTTCTCTGTGTAGTCCTGGCTGTCCTGGAACTCACTCTGTAGACCAGGCTGGCCTCCAACTCACAGAGATCTGCCTACCTCTGCCTCTCAAACACTGAGTGTGCTCCATCACCAACGAGCTCTTACTGGTTCTTTTGTGCTACTAAGATTAAGACCACCCACCGTCCTCCTTGTCCTCACTTGGAATTACAGTAGAGCTTTCTAGCTAGTCTTCCCACATCCACCCTCAGTGTCCTGCACTCTCTGTACATGCAGGCACGAAGCCTCACGGTTTAGTTCAAGTCCCAGCAAAATCACTGTCCATCTTCACTGTGATGATGTTGAAGAAACTAAAAAGAAAGAATTGGTCCTTCGCTCAGGATCTCCAGGCCTTTCCTGCCCTTTCACTCCTTCAGAGCACTCTGGCTTGATCTTGGTTCTCCAGACAAGAGACACACGGCTCCCTGGGCACCTTCTGCTTTCTGACACCCTGTCTTGCTACTCCTTTATCAGCCACCAAGGATGTCTTCCTTTTTTCTCTGCTAGCCTGTCCTCTTTCTGACTAATGCCAACTCTAACCTGGGATTCTTGGCGTAGCCCCACAGCCACCCCAAAGAGAGAATGAAAGCTAGATAGGCTTGAGAACACCCCACCCACTGGAGTGTACATTGTGGGCCACAGAGGAGATGTTGAATAGGAATGTTACAAAAACACTGCATCCCAACTCGCTACATCGCACTGGAAGTAAAGGAAAAACTTCATAGAGGGAAGACTCACCTAGAATCCTCAAGTCGAATGCTTTTTGCAGCTTACTACTGCCATTTGCACCATACACTATCACATTATAGGTGCCGTTGTCGTCTCTCTTCAGTTTTTTTATTCGCAAGGTTTCATTCGTCAAGATCTCAAATGCTTCCGATAGCAGAAAAGGTTTCATCTCTTTTTTTAACTGTGCGACCAGCGTTCTCCCCTTTTCCCATCGGACTTCATCAGTATCAGTCACTTGAAAGTTAGGGATGGTCAAGTTGATATCATGACCCAAGGCACCCCAAATAATACTACTGTCTCCGGAGACCGTCCCTGTAAAAAGCAAAATGGTTGCTGAGGTCTTGGAACTACCAAGGATCTCCCTCTTTGACTCTCACACTCATTCCAGGGTCTCCAGAATAACTCCAGAGAAGTTCCACACGCCGGCTTACCTTTGTTGGAAATGCTGAAAAGCAGAAGGAAGCCAGCTAGAAATTCACATCTCATCTTTAGACTCTGTTTCACAGTGGTGATTCTGAGTGCTTCTTTCTAACGTGATGGCAGTAAGACTGGCAGAAGCCACACCCAGCAACCTGAACCACGTGTCTCTCAGGCTTGCTGTTCACCGTAGGGAAGAAAACACTCACAGTCCCTCAGCCCCATAGGAGGCCCTCCTTTGCCAAAACAGGTGTTCTGTGATCCTGTGTGTCGGCGTCACATTTTAATCTTTACGAAACTGTTGAGGCTGGTGGTTTCGGCACCCCATTGAAGAGAAGAGCTGAGAGGTCAGTCACCCCATTTGTAACAAGGGCTCAAACTCACTCAGACTCACTGTCCACTCAGCGGTGCTGCCTCCAACCGGACCCCGTAGACTCACTGGTAAATGTTTGTAAGAAAATGGGATTCAACTATGTATCCTATGGGGAGAGATGCTAGAAAATGTGTGCACGTGAAATGATAAAAATGGATTTTCCCTCTTCCTTGAAAATATTTTTAATATTCTAAAATTGTTCATGTAGGGGCCTGGAAAGATGGCTGGGCAGTTAAGAGCACTGGCTGCTCTTCCAGAGGACCCAGATGCCATTTCCAGCACCCACGTGGCGCCTCATAACTATCTGTAACTCTAGTTCCAGGAGACCCAACAACCCTCTTCTGGCCTCTGTGGTCACTGCACGCAGGTGTTGTGCACAAATATATGTAAACAAGCACTCGCACAAATAAAATAAAAATAAATAAATATTGGGAGGCTGGAAAAATGGCTCAGTGATTAAAGAACAATTGTAGAAAACCTGAGTTTTGTCCCTTACACCTACAAGACAGCTTACAAACCTTGGTAACTCCAGTTCCAGGGGGTCTGATGCCCTCCTCTGGCCTCCACAGGCACCAAGCATGCAAGTGACACACAGACATACATGCAGGCAAAACACTCAAACACATAAAACAAGTATAAAGAAATCTAAAATTTTTTTAATTGTTTATGTTATAAAAAGAAGCCAATCTTCTCCACTATAAAGGCTGTCAACCCACCCATCTCATATTTAGCATACATTTCATGACTCTCTTGGAATTATAACTATGTAAAGAAAAACTGGTTCCAAAACAAATTTTTTAAAAACAAACTATAAAATAATATTTATTTTATTTATGTGTTAGGGTATTTTGCCTGCATGTATGTATGTACACCATATGTACTGTGTTGATTTGAATTAAAATAGCCCCAATAGGTTCTTGTATTTGAATGCTTGGTCATCCTCTGGGAAGAAACTATTTGGAAAGGATTGGGAGGTGTGGACTTGTTGGAGGTTCGTTACACTGGGTATGGACTCAAAGGTCTTAAAAGCCCATGCTGTTCTGTTAGCTCTCTCTGTCTCTTGCTGTGGATAGGAATCTCAGCTCTCAGCTACTGCTCCAGCACTATGCCTTCCTGCCTGCTGCCATGCTCCCTGCTATGATGGCCATGGATACTAACTCTCTGGAACTTTAAGACCCCAACAAATGGTGCTTTGTCATAGCTGTTAAAAACTAAGAATGCATGTACTGCCTGAAGAGGCCAGAAGAGGGCGTAGGATCTCTTGGGACAGAAGTTATAGATGGTTGTGAGCTGCCATGTGGGTGCTGGGAATGGAACTCAGGTCCCCTGTAAGAGCAGCCAGTGCTCTTAACCACTGAGCCATCTCTCTTATCCTAAGACTATGAAATAATAGTGAACAACCAAATTGACAACTATAGATGGTCTAAGACATGGAATGACCAGGACAAACAGAACTGGGGGAGAGAAAGAAAAGGTTTGTGTTCAGGAGAAGGGTCAGTGATGCAGATACCAGTGTCCCTGGAAAAAAGACACTCAGGAAGGTCATATGGGCAAGTGATACTATGAATGTCCTGTCTTTTGGGTTTTTTTTAAGATTTTATTTATTTATTATGTATACAGTCTTCTGCCTGCATGCCAGCAGAGGGCACCAGATCTCATTCAAGGGGGTTGTAAGCCACCACGTGTTTGCTGGGAATTGAACTCAGGACCTCTGGAAGAGCAGTCAGTGCTCTTAACCTCTGAGTCATCCCTCCTGAAAGGTTCAGGCATTATGCTGGCCTGCCCCTGTTACCTGGTGGAATCCACTCAGGCAATACCCTGGTCAGCCCAAGGTTCCATGGGAAAGAAGTCTGCACGCAGGTGCAGAGGACCCCTTTAAAAGATAGGCCCCT